CGGCCTGATTTATCGAAATATTTCCAGATTTCCAATCAAGTGTGCTTGATACGTACTGAATGATGTAAAGCCCCGGAGCTTTCCCCTCTTCTTCTTCAAAGTATATCGAATCTCCTAGCTTCGAGAATGACTCGATTGCTTGACAAAAATAAAAAATAAACAAGTAAATAAAGGTTAGGGAAAAGGTAGAAAAAAAATCTATTAGTTTCTAACAAAAAATGGTTTGTATTTATGAGGTTTGAAGCCCAGACCTGTCCCCTGGCAGCACCAAAAAGACTTGTACTTTGTTCCCCATCCATGGGAACTTTTGCCCTTAGAACATCCACGGCATAGTGGTAGCGTATAGATCATTGCTCCTGGTTCCTTTCCCCTTTGGATGCCCAGCACACCATTGGTCAGAGCTCGCTCGTAATAATCTGCATATGTGATATCTTTGGTCCATCTAAAGAGGTTGCGCGCGATCTACAAAATCATAAGAAAAACAGCAAAACAATAGAAATTTTAAATTGAAAAGTGATTAGGACAGAAAACTTTTTTATTCCACCCCATGCATTTATGACCAGCAGACCTTTAGCATGTTATAAGTTGAACATGATTCTTCATTTTCCTTGTTCAGAGTGGTTGCCAATCGCTTTGGGTCAGTCCTGTTCATGGGTTGAGAAAATGAGAAAAAACCAGAATCGCATAGAAAATTCAGCAATCAATACAATAAATAAGTATAAAGCATTTCACTGATGGTTGTATTATTAAACACTATTTAAACTACTTCCAATCGTTTGTACCAGAACTCCCCATCTGTTGTCCCTCCGGTTGCATAGGTGTGAGAAGAGTTGACAATATCCATGAAGAATGTCGTCATGTCCTGCCATAAAAAATCATAAAACAATCATCCAAATATACTACCCGAATAGCCATTCTTTTGGAGTTCTCGTCATTCTTCCTTGTACTTCTATGAACTCCAAAAGAATTCTTGTTCGCAACCGAGGGGGAAAGGAAAAAAAAAAAAAATGCTATGCTCCGACGACTGTTATTGAAATGAATTATAGCCATTTACCCTGTAAAGTGTATCCCCAGTAACTTCATACCGCCTTTGAGCTCCAATAATATGTGCAAGATGTGTGTTAGCATGATAACCACCTATATCATCGGCCTACAAATAAAAGACAGAAATTTAGCAATGTTATTTGAGAAATAAGAATAATATGGATGATGTGGTTTATTTAAATTGCAAAAAAAAAAAAAAAAAAAAAAAAAAAAAAAAAAAAAAAAAGGTAACCTTTACTGCAAGGATTCCCAGGAAACAGGGTTTGTCAAAAAGATGAGCCAACAATAAATGCTTTTGATCATGCTGCACACGGTAAAAAAACAAAAAAAAAAACAAAAAACAAAAAACTGCTAATATTAGAACAGAAGTTCAAAAAATATTTGTGAAAATTGTAAATAAAATACTAATGGACTACGGTACAATACCACCATGCAATTTATGGAACTGATGTGGGTTACGCACCGTTATGCTGTATAACTGATAAAGGACATCACTCATGGCACCAACTTCTGTATTCAATGCTAGATATTGTCTTTCTACACTGTACTTTTTAATCATATTCTGCGCGCGCTTGTAAAAGTATTCCACCATGCGAATCATCATTTTCAGAGCTTCATCATTACCCGCTAACCTGTGTTGATCTAACAGACCCGCCAATATCTGTGAACAGAAATTGATTAACATTTTTTTCATAGCAGAAATGAAACATATTTAAATAGAACCGCCAGTGTTGTGGTGTAATTTTATACCTTGTGAATGGTGTAGTATGGTGCCCACACAGGCTTTACATGTTCCCATAGGTCAAAAAGCTCATCCGGGAAAGCAGAAAGATACCCTGTACCGATTTCATTCTGACAGACCGCGAGAGCAGAAACTACTGCATCCATTTTCTCTTTCACAGCATAATTATGAGTGCTCGCCCACATTAGAGCTGTGGCACTCAGGTAATGCCCTACAATATTTCAAACGTCTCAAATGTATATCGGCCTCAAAATCATACAAAATCATACAAACAGTGAATGATATATGAAATGTACCTACGAAATGACCCCGGAGATCGGTTTCAGGATCCTCCCAACCTCCATATGGCTCGCCCGGAGTAGGCAAGCCGGCCGTCTTCCTAAAGCTCCAAACCAATCTATCAACATCTAACAGCAAGATGTATTCCAAGTTGGTCTGCTGAGCCTGCCACTGATATGATGAAGGGTCAGTAATTCTCACATCATGAAGAGACACCTCCTTGAGGGTGGCAGGCAGTTCAAAACCAACTGAAGTATTCAGTTTGTTGGACACCATCGCCCAATTCTCCTCATCCACCACCGGAGTATTGGTTGCGTTCATACGGTATTGCGATAACAACTGTGCACTCATTGTTGCACTACTTTTACTTTTTAAGTGTGTTTTCGGTAGTATGTTAGTACATCTCTTACCGGAAGCACATACACACAAAACAGATAACACAACACCTACAACCGAAAGCATCATTAAAGGCTTCATTGTTATCACAATGCATAAACTTCAATGTGAATTGAGCTAAAAGAATGTATGTATGTAAGTATATATAGATGAATCAATCAATGCATGCGCCAATTTAGGATAAAATCAAACACTCGTTTTGCAAATTTTTTGCAAATTTGGGATAAAATCAAACACTTTCGACCGTGAAACAGAAGAATGTTTTTTAGTGAATTGACAGTGAAAAGGATAAAAGTTTAAGTAAAAAAAAAATGGAGGAAAAGTGTTTGAATTTGACAAGAACAACCACATAGTATTATATACATATAATACATCAACAACCACACGTATCGTATATAGCAGTAGTTTGAATTTGACAAGAACAACCACATCTATGGGATATATATAATATATCAATCAATTGAAAATAAACGAACAACTGAACAAAAAGCAGTATGGTGAATTTACCACCGCCACCCGCCGGGCTACCATATTGACGTCCAACATCAACTTATTTATTGTTCAATCATGTTTAAGCGGAGAAAATAAAAAATTAAATAAATATCATGTTTAAGTGGTTTCTTTAAATTATAAGAAAAATAATTCAAATGTTTTTCAGACACAGTAGATTCTTATTATAATTTATGGGTGAAATACATTGACCTCTCGTCACTTTGTCTAAATATATATAAACTTAAAGTATTATCAAAAGTAACCAACTTTCTTTGGAAGTCACCAACTTTCCTGGATCAGTTTAGTTAAACGGAAATAGATATTGGGAAGTGAAAGTGAAAGTAAAAAGAAAAAGAAAGTGAAGGAAAGAAAAATTAAGTGAAAGGAAAGTGAAGGAAAGAAAAATTAAGTTTTCACGGTGTATTTGATTATTTGGATGGAATGAAAGAACAAAAAAAAAAGAAAAAAAAATTATTGTACTTGTCAAAACTGTCATTTTAATTTTAAATATAAAAAGACAAATAAATTTAGGTCATCAAATTTTGTTATTGATAATAGTATTCAGATGAGACACCAAATCACCTAAATTTCTTTACCAAAAATATTTTAACATTTTTACACACACATATATATTTGGACATTACAATTTATGTAATAATTATAAGGACTTTAATGAAATCTAATAAGATTAGGATTGTTCTAAATATTTGTACATTACAATTTATATAATAATTGTAAGGATTTTGATGAAGTCGACTAAGATTATAATTGTTCCACTACATGTTTGTTTACATTAAAATAACCAAAACCAATAGAATTTTATATCTGAGAACCAAGTTTAAGGGGAGTTTTCTTTGAATTCAACTAGAATTATATAACGGTAGAATATTTTGTATTATTCTTTTGAAGGAACGTATATATTCCCTAAAACTTGTAATAATTGTAATATCCAAATTTTAACATATATATATATATATATATATATATATATATATATATATATATATATTTGGACATTACAATTTATATAATAATTGTAAGGATTTTGATGAAATCCAATAAGATTAGAATTGTTCATTTGTTTACATTAGAATAACCAAAAGTATTAAAATTTTATACATGACAACCAAGTTTACGAGGTGTTTTCTTTTTGAATTCAACTAGAATTATATAACTATAGAATATTTTGATGAATAAGACTAGAATTGTTCTACTATATGTTTGTTTACATTAGAATAATCAAAACTATTAGAATTTTATACATGACAACCAAGTTTACGAGGAGTTTCTTTTTGAATTCAACTAGAATTATATAACTATAGAATATTTTTAAGTATTTGAACATATATATTTCCTAAAACTTATAATAATTCTAATATCCAAATTCTAAAACCTAATTGATATGTATATCTACGTATTGTAAATTCTTGTAAATTAATATAATACACTTAGAAAATACCCACCATAATATGTTATATGTATATAGGTATTTGGAAGGGTCAAGTTTGTATGCAAGATAAAAAAAATAATAATAATAAATAAATAAATAAAAATTGTGGCTAAAAAGAAGATCTCCCCACTTTCATGAGTTCATTTATGTTTGGAAATAAAAAATAAAAAAAATGCCATCCCTAGAGTCACTCAATTATGCCATTGTTCGGGAGGATGCTGCGGGATAGTTTTGGTTGTTGGGTGGTGGTTGTTGTTTTGAGCTTTTTAACTCTATTGTCAGGAGAAAGAGAAAGAGAAAGAAAAAGGGAAAGAGAAAAATAAAAAATAAAAAAAACAAACAACCCCTAACGCCTCCATTTCCCACTAAGGATCTTATTTGGGCCCATATATTTCAATCGTTACGATCCATTGAGTCTCTGAATCCCCAACCCATTTTAATTCTCTCAAATCCCAAACCCAAAGCCTGACCCCTTATCAGCCCTTCTATCAATTCAAACTTCAGTTAACAACCCAAGTTCCGAACTAAGCAGCCCAGATGTCCAGATATCCAAGCCCAGGATCCCTTTGCGCAAATCATTTTCAAGGGCACTCCTTCACACGCGCGCTCTCTCAGTCTCCAGAGCATCATCGTCACAGTTCCTGTCTCCCTTTTCAGAGACCAGCTTCCGGGAAGAGAAAACCATCAGACGATGATCGTAGAAAACTTGTGGCTACGAACAGGGGAAAGCGAGGTTGTCTCATGGATCAAGATGACTGCGATCATCCTAATTCTCCCCAAGAAGTATGTACTATCTACTATCTTCAATTGATTGATATATATATATATATAGTACACTGTACGTACATGACGTTGTTCTTGACAAATTTAAACTCTTCCATTTTTCTACTTAGATTAGAATTTAATAATTCCCTATTATTATTATCTCACCAACAATAGAGTATCTATTTTATCCTTTCACTGTTAATTCGCTATTTATAGATTTTATAATATCAATTCGGATTGGCTCTGATTTTTTTAGGAAGAAGCCATTCTTATCTTTGACAATGGAGAGTGTCTGATTTTATGCTAAATTTGGCGCATTCATTGATTGATTCATCATTTGATCTCTATAAATAAATAATTTTTAATTTTTTTTTGGGTAATGTCTATAAATATAAATTGGATTCACCAATCACCACACACACATACATATTATTGTATCTTAATTCACTTGAAATTAATTAGGCATTCAAGTAATGCCTGACATTGTGATAACAATGAAGTCTTTCATGGTGCGTTCGGTTGTAGGTGCGGTGGTGTTATCTCTTCTGTGTGGGTTTGTTTTGGGTAAGGACTGCACTAACAAGCCTGATGAGATAGCATCAAACACTGTTCAAGCTGAGCTGGTGACTACCACGAATACAACATGGAAGAGAAACTTGTTAGCGCAATACCATGAGTACACAGGGAAACACATGGGTTGTTCTGTTGAGGTGTCTCCGGCCAATTTCGGTGAGAGAAGGCAATTGAATGCGGCGAATTGGGCGATGGTGTCCAAGAAACTGAATACTTCAGTTGGTTTTAAAGTGCCTGCAACCCTCAAGGATGTGTCTCTCCATGATGTGAGACTTAATGACCCTTCATCAATTCATTGGCAGGCTCAGCAGACAAACTTGGAATACTTATTGATGTTAGAACCTGATAGCTTGGTTTGGAGCTTTAGGAAGACGGCTGGTTTGCCTACTCCCGGTAGGCCATATGGAGGTTGGGAGCATCCGAAATATGACCTCCGGGGCCATTTTGTAGGGCATTACCTGAGTGGCGCAGCTTTAATGTGGGCGAGCACTCATAATAGTACTCTCAAAGAGAAAATGAATGCAGTAGTTTCTGCGCTCGCTGCCTGTCAGAATAAAATTGGTACAGGGTATATATCTGCTTACCCAGATGAGTTTTTTGACCGTTACGAATCTGGAAAATATGTGTGGGCACCATACTACACCATGCACAAGGTAAAAGCTGTTTTGCAACATTGTATTAATTAATAGCTGTTAATCCATTTATGCTACAGAACCAGTCTTATCTTAGTATGCTTTTCACAGATATTGGCAGGTCTGTTTGATCAATACAAATACGCGGGTAATGATCAGGCTCTAAAAATGATGATTCGTAAGGTGCAATACTTTTACAAGCGTGTGCAAAATATGATATCAAAGCAGAGTCTAGAAGCACACTATAAATTATTAAATACAGAAGTTGGCGGCATGAGTGATATCCTTTATCAGTTATACAGTGTAACGGTGCGTAACCCTCATCCACGGACAGCATTATAACACTTTTATATTCATAAAGTAATCTTTTGGTATTGTTAATTGCTTGTGGTCTATTGTATTTACAATTTTCACAAATATTTGTTGAACTTATTTTCTGATTTTTGCCATTCATTTGTTACCATGTGCAGCATGATCAAAAGCATTTATTGATGGCTCATCTTTTTGACAAACCCTGTTTCCTAGGAATCCTTGCATTAAAGGTAGTTATCACTTTCTATATACTACTCTTTTGAGTTTTTATTTCTTTCATTAGTAAATTACCTACCAATCAACTAACATGATAAATATGGATTGTTCAAATCAAAAGGCAAAAAAAAAAAAAAAAGTCATTTCAAAACAATATGCTAATCAAGGAGTATTATAAGAAAGATAAATACTTGACAAATATAAGAATCAGAATATTGAGTGGTAATATTTCCTCTAAATACAATTACAATTGTACTCGACTGGTTTTCGTATTTCGAAAGTGATGCATAAAATTACACACATTGAGTTCATAAAATTATAGTAATAAATTTAAATAAGAAGAAGAAAAATAAAAGGAATAAGAAGAGAAAAAAAAGTTACATTAATACTACATACATCGCACATAAGTTCGAAAAAAAAAAAAAAAAAAAAGAGTAGAAGAAGAATATAAAGAAAAATGAGATAACTTTGAAGGGAAAAAGGTTAGAATTTGATTGAAGAAGGGGAATGAAACTTTTTGTTTTAAGGAAATTAATGGAATTTGAAGAGTAAAAGAGAAAAGAAAGGGATAAAAAAGAAGAAGATAATTTTAGGGGGCCATTATGTAAAATTTCTCATATATGTATAAATAAATATATATAGTGGGAGTCGCCAGGCCTGGGGGCATGTGGCCTAAATTGTCTCTACCCCTGATTGAGAGTGTGGCATAAAAAAGTCAAAAAGGAAAAAGGATATGTTAAAACTTAAAATCAAAGAGGATCTTGATAAATTAAGAAAGCCTTAATGTGAAGGATTGAAGAATTGTTAGTTTTTGAAAATTCTGGAATATATTTAGTTATGTTATCTAAACCAGTTTCAAGGATGAATATATTTGAAAATACAAATTGGTGTTATTCAATTAACAATTCACCATTGGGAATCTATTCCTGGACATGAACCGGTTCATATATTACTTACAAAAAAATTCGAACCAATTCATTAATCTTCTGATCTTCCAATGAGATTCCAAATCTATATATTGCAAAGCTTAGCATCATATATATTCAAGATTGCTTGCCGATTTTTATTTTGGTGATTCAAATAAACCATATGTCTATATAATTCTTATTTTTAAAATAACATTGCTAAATTTATGCCTTTCATTTGCAGATGGATGATATAGCTCGGTTTCATACCAATACACATATTCCACATGTTATTGGAGCTCAAATGCGGTACGAAGTTACTGGTGATCCACTTTACAGGGTAAATGGCTATAATTCATTTCAATATCAGTCCTCAGAGCATTATAACTCAATGAAGCATTTTCTTGATTCCAATTTTTAGTGTTGAGTATTATTACGGTTTTTTTTTTTTTTTTTTTTTTGGTCTAATAGGAACTTTCTGGTTTACTACTTTGTCTAATATCTGGAAGGCAAGCAACTTTTTTTTTTACCTTTACTTTTTCTTCTTCAGTCTCTCTCTCTCTCTCTCTCTGTGTTTTTTTTTTTTTTACAAGTAGGGAAAAACTATTGAAGATAAATGACTGGAGCATAGCTACTCATCCCTCAACAAAGTAGTGGTCCTAATAATCATGGAGGTAAAATGACCTCGAAAGGAGTCAATAGGGAGAGCCGCATTGGTTTGATATGAATTTAGTCCTTATTCGGCTATTGAATGGATTGAATTTTGTTATGAATCCAGTCCTTTAAATTTAAGTTAGTAAAATGTGTATTCTCCTTATCATGGTGATGAACCAAAATCAGTCCATTTGTTAACCAACGGGTCAACCTTGGCTTAATAGTGATCTGATCCAATTATAATCAATCAGAATATAATTAGTATATAAATCTTTTAGATTAAAGTATTTATGCATAGCATATATATAGTGCATAAAAGATTGATAAATATATTTCATTTTATTAAGAATTCAATATGAAAAATTATTTTATTTTATTTGTGCTTAGTTCTATTTACCCAATTTGAGGGCGAGCCTTGGTGCAACAGCAAGATTGTTCCACTGTGAGGAAACAAGGAAACTTCTCTGTATGCACAGTTAAGGCTGCATACATCTGATCTGACTCGCCTCACTGTGACCTGAAGGTCACAAATTGTGGGAGTCTCATGCACTGGATTTGCCCTTTAATCTCTATTATCAAATTCGCATAAAAACAATAACCCAAGGCTTCAGGGTTAAACCTGTTGCACCACATATTTAAATTGCCTCACCTGGGCCTTTTAAGAGATGAAATTTCTTCTTTGACAGCACCATCTATTCATTGTGGTTTGTGGAGTAGAAAACTGCAGTTCCTAAATATTCCTTCATTTCTAATTGAGATGCTTTTCAGAGGGTGCAACCATGGAAATTAATTTTAATTCTGCCCCTTTAGGTAGCACAACGGTTTTCTTGCTGAAGAATGGCTATTCTCATTGTATATTTGGATCATCGTTTTATGATTTTTTTTTTTTTTTTTTTTTTAATGGCAGGACATGGCTACTTTCTTCATGGAGATTCTTGACTCTTCTCACACCTATGCAACTGGAGGGACATCAGTTGACGAGTTCTGGTACAAACAGTTTGAACTTTAAATAGTGTTTGATAATTACAACTATCAGTGGAAAGCTTTACACTTATTGTCTTGATTCCTGAATTTCCTAAGCGATTCTGGTTTGTTCTCATTTCCTCAACCCATGAGCAGGGCAGACCCAAAGCGACTGGGAGACACTCTGGGACGAGAAAATGAAGAATCATGTGCAACTCATAACATGCTGAAGGTCTGCTGGTTTTTTTTTTTTTTTTTGAAGAAAAAAAAATTCAGTGAGAAGATTTGTCTCTCTCTTTGTTGTTGTTTTTCTTTCTTCAGAAATTTAAGGGGTTGTGGTTAATACTTTTTGGATGAGTTAGCACACTTTTCACTTTATAATTTCTATTATTTTGGTTTAAAATCTCAGTGCTGTTTTTTACCAGCATCAAATGGCATATGATTTTGTAGGTGTCACGCAACCTGTTTAGATGGACCAAAGAAATCACATATGCAGATTATTATGAGCGTGCCCTAACCAATGGTGTGCTGGTCGTCCTGCGGGCAGGGCATCCTGGACAATTTATCTACAGGCTACCCCTATGTAGTGGATGTTCTAAGACCGTTAGCCACTATGGATGGGGAACAAAGTTTGATTCTTTTTGGTGCTGCTACGGGACAGGTATGGCTTTGAAACCACATAAATTAAAAAAGGCAAACCCAGTGCACGAGGCTCCTGTCATTGCGGGGTCTTAGGGAGGTTAGAAGTATGCAGCATTACCACCACATGTGAAGAGGCTGTTTCCTTGAAACCTCATAAAAATAAACCATTTTTTTATTATAAAATAAAATATTTTTGCTTCTAAATAAGCGACTTAAAAATATTCAAACAATTTTTTAATTGCATCTTACAACCTTAGATTCTTAGATCTTATGATTTGCATTCTTAATCCCTTATGACTGGGAGAATTTGGTTGTTTACTTGTGGTTTTGACTGTCACGATTTAGTTAATATGCGTTTCAACATGTTTTTTTTTGGCTTGTCAAGGAGTTGAGTCATTCTCAAAGTTAGGAGATTCGATATACTTTGAAGAAGAGGGGAAAGCTCCGGGGCTTTACATCATCCAGTACATATCGAGCTCGCTTGATTGGAAATCTGGAAAGATTTTTATAAATCAGATAGTAAAACCTGTTTTTTCTTGGGATTCTCGTCTTCAAGTGACACTGACAATCTCCTCGAAGGAGGTAAATGTTAGTAGCTAGAAAATCTATTATTGTTATTAAATATGGTTGATTATTTTCATAACACAGTTCAATATCAGGACAAGGAACGGCCTCTTTATTCCTTATACACCGTCTGTCTTTCAATAAGTTGTTGTGGAAGTATCTTTCTTACTAACATTCCATCTGAAAATAGGAAAAACTACCTCTAGGAAATTTGGATATCTTTCTGTTTATAGCACATAAATTTTACTTTGTTTATGCTACTTGTATAATTTTACAGAGTAAAGGAATGTTGCATCTCATTTCACCGACTCTTTCTAGGTTACAGTTTCCCTACCTTTCAATTATCTTACTGTGAAAACAGGTCATCTAAAGACAATCTTTTCTAATTAATCCACCTTTAAAGATGTGAGCGGATGGTGTCTCCTTTTTGTTAGTCAGATTGCTCTCCCTCCCTCTCTCTCTCTCTCTCTCTCTCTCTCTCATGCATGTGCTCATTTTAAATTAACCAAAAATAGATGCATACTGTCAATGTGTATTATAGCATAGTGGCTATAATTTCATTGATTGAGGAAAAGTATTGTATGAGAAAGTATGAAATCTAAACCATCTGACCTCTTGTGGCTAAAAACAAGAGTAAAGATAAAGCAGGATACAAGAAGCTAACAACGTCGAAAAGATATGAATTATTTTTGAAGAAAGAATTAATATTAAAAAATTATTAGCGAAGAGAAAATATAAGTAGATACTGGAAATTTTTCAGTAGGCAAATAAAATATGTTTTGGTTGTTAGATACTGGAACCTTAAATTCTTTCTAACCCAAGTGATCATAAGGTTCAAGTTTCTTCTCCATGTCTTCTGCAACCAAACAGAGCGTTATTAAATTACTTTTACTTATCTTTGTTCAAGTGCTTGTTAGTTTCAGGTTCCAACAAAATTTTACAAATTATTTTCCCATGCTTAATTTATGGATGCAGAAAGGGGCAAGCCAATCATCTACCATAAATTTGCGAATTCCAAATTGGGCACCGGCAAATGGTGTTAAGGCAACTTTAAATGGCCAGGGTTTGCCTCAACCAACTCCAGGTTCGATCTTCCTCCATCTTCCTCTCTTCTATTACCTTACTGTATTTTTCTTTCAAATATTTTGATTTTTAATTGAGAATCTCAGGTAAGTTCATAATTCTCTCCACCCTGATGATGCAGGTAAATTTCTCAGAGTCAGTAGACAATGGAATTCTGGTGACAAAATCACTCTTGAACTGCCCCTCAACCTTAGAACTGAGAACATTAAAGGTATTTTCTTGGGATGCTCTCATAAATAACTTATTTTATACGTTATGATGTTCAATGTATATCTAACGATGAAACTAACAGAAGTTTTTAACTGATACATGCTTCAGATGATCGGCCTGAATATGCCACCGTTCAGGCAATTCTTTATGGCCCTTACCTTCTAGCTGGGATGACGAGCAAAGAAAAAGACTGGAACCTCAAAACAGGAAAAGCCAAGTCCCTCTCGGAATGGATCACTCCAATTCCAGCGGAATATTATTCTAATTTGATTTCTCTCTCCCAAGGTTCTGGAGAGTCAGTGTCAGCATTTTCACTATCAAACACAACCCATACAATCAAAATGATGCCGTTTCCTGAGCCCCACAATGATTGGTCCATAAGGGCCACTTTTAGACTCATCTTAAAGGACTCAGCTGCTTCCCCGAAACAGTTTGCACCAAAAGATGCTATTGGGAAATTGGTGATGCTGGAACCATTTGATTTTCCAGGTACTGTTGTTCTACACCAAGGAAATAACGGAAACCTTTCAGTTACAGCTTCAGTTGGAGCTCCCGCCACTCAGAATTCTGTTTTCCAGTTGGCTCCGGGATTGAATGGGAAGCCCGGAACAGTTTCATTAGAGTCCAGTAGCCAGAAGGGTTGCTTGGTGTGCAGTGAGGGTATTCCTGGGGAAAAATCTACTGTTCGTAAATTTATCAAGCTCCGGTGCCAATCTGCTGGGGCACCACCAGATGCTGGATTCAAGGAGGCAGCCAGCTTTGTGTTGACTAATGGAATAAGTTCATATCATCCTATCAGTTTTGTGGCCAAAGGCGCGGGAAGGAATTTTCTTCTCACTCCATTTCATAACTTCATGGATGAATCTTACACACCATACTTTGATATCAAACCTTAAGGACTTCAACTACCATTGAAGTGATGGCACAATAAGATTTTTCTGTTGTTCTGCTTCTGTGAAGTGGCCGTGGAAATTTCACATTTGAATGTCTCTCAATTTCTTGATGTAGCTAAGTTGTCAAGTTTTTCTTTTTTTAGGAAAAAAGTTACTGTTATTTTTTGGAATAACGGCATTGGATATGTAGAGAGAGATGAATCAGCTGTGGTGATTTTATATATACACCTAGGAAGCACAGATATTTCATTTAGGATGTTATGCCGGTATCAATCAGTATATTGAAATTGAAATATAAGCACCGAAGATATTGTTAGAAATATCTTGAAATTGAAATATAATATATTCTAGATGGACCGATAAAAATACATTTTAGACACTTCTGTACTTTTTAGGTATACACACTTTTGTATAGATATAAATATAATCTCTGGGCATATCAAGCGTAGTTCAAGAAAAAAGATATGAACTACTTTAAAATGATTCACGGTTTTCAGGACCTTATGTCATTTTTGGAAAAATGGTGTAAAATTATATTTTCTAATTTAAATGCAACCAAATACCAAAAAATAATAAAAATATTTTACATAGAAATAAACGGAGACAAAATTAAATTTCTTTATTGATAAAGATAATGATATATTTATAACAAAACTATGAAGAGTAATATTGTGATGAGGACGCCTATTTTCTTGTTCGTGTGTAATGATTTCATTATCCACGATAAATAATAAAAGTTAAGGCTGTTTCAATACCACAAAAGACTCGTAGCGGATGAGTTCCATAACTTTTAGTCTGCTATCTCGATCATGATTCTAGAGGTAAAGATTCTTAAATGAATAGTATTTGTTGTGGAACTAAATCTAATTATTGATTAAAAAAGAAAAATTACATAAAAATAACCTTTGGTGGTCAACTTACAAACAAGTAGACGTGTTTCAAAATCTGGACAATCATTTATTCCATTCCAAAATGTGAATTATTTGATATTTAACTACCGAGTATGGATTCGCTCCATGTCTCTTTCGTGCGTAAAATCGCTATTGTTATTATCATTTATTTTTTTTTGTGTAAACACAGTTAAATCGTTAGAAGTTCATGTGAAAAAAATTATATTTTTCGTTTTTTAAAGGTAAAGTGTAGCAAATTGTGCTCTGACAGTCGATAAAGAAATTTGTATGTTGGTCCGAAATCGGGGACGAGATGAGGCGGTAGGGTTGTGTGTTGAAAGATTTGAGAAAAAAACTCTCATACCACTTGACAGAAGGTCTTGGATCGGTGGCTCTGCTCTGGAATGTAGTTGATCGACTTGGGAATAAAGAATTCGAATACAAGTTCCAATTTTATTTGTTTTGGAAAGCTCTCTAATTGGGAGGAAAGGATATATTGTAATCAATATATTGTGTTGAAAGATTTCAGACAGAATGATTCTGACGATCCAAGCTCTTGGATCGTTCTTGAAGGCTTAGGATTCAATTCCATTTATAGACTCTCATGCCCAATCCTTTCTTTGGTGGACAAAGATTATAATTTCTAAAATACTTTTCTTGGTTGGTAAGTATTATAATTTCTAAAATGAAAACTAATATTACCTATACAGTTTATCTAAGTCTATAAATATTATATATTACTGTAATTTAGAAGTATTTCTAACATAATTAAACGCAATTGGTCCTGGCTTAATAACTATGCTCATCATCATTAGGCAAAGACAATTTCCTAATTCCAAGTCTTTCTTGCCTCCCATCATTATTATAAACAACTTTACACCTTTGGCTTTGTTGCTTTAAGTGATGTGGATCTTACTCCTCCCAGGATTCATTTGTCTGAAACTGAAGCATCCATTTTAGAATGTCCTCGTCTTTCAACCTGGTGCTGACCAAGCACCTCGACCACATGGCTTCTCTCCAACAATTTTGGTCCAACATTGTTGGTGGAGACGTAGTTGCTGCAATGAAATCCTTCTTCCAAGGGTGTTGGAAGCACATTCATTACTTTGATTCCCAAGATAAGGGTTCCTATCCATGTGAGGTAATAAATGGGACCTACACTTCAGCTTATCCACTGTATCGAATGGATAAAACCCCGTAGGCCTAACAAATAAGTCTGAGAAAAAATATTCTACTGTATATTCAAATGGAGTGCTGCTATTAGTTGTGACATCGGTCCAAATATCATTACCCGAAGGGAGTGAAAAAATATTGGACTGTATATTCAAATGGAGTGCTGCTATTAGTTGTGACATAGGACTTGCACAACACTTACACTGAGGCTTTGACAAATCATCACTCATGGTGAACCGCACAAGGGGACCGACGTCGCAACAAATATAATTTTCCATTCAAATGCCATGTCAAACACAATGAAACTACAAATGCTCATGGAAAGGCTCAATGAAACCATGGATCAAAAGCATCTGACAACCTGAAAATCCATTGACAATAGACATTATGGTACGGCAGGAATGCAGAAAGGATTGAGGAAATTCTACAACTAATCAAGTATAAAAAGGTTTCAGCAGACATCAATTTAGTATACCTTTCAATGGTTCTTGAGCCCTCAACCGGAATCAAAATAATGCCTTGAAAAAAATGAAAAAACGAAGAACAAAATCTACATCAAGAAAGTAGCATTAACTATTAGACACCAATATCACTTTCTTCTTTTCAATTCTTTTGGATTCTCATTGTCACTGCAACCACCAACATATCAGCTATCAGGAATTAACATTTCACATCAAGATAGTCATCTTACCATAATGGACAAGGGCTTTTAGCAAGTTATTTCTTCGTATTGTGATGTAGTTTGCAGCAGCTAGAAAATTGAATTCCTCACCTAAATCACACGATCAGAATAATAGTTAAACATTTCTTCATATGGACCCAACAACCTCTTAACCTTCCATGTACACTACAAAATCCGTCATCCTCCATTTTTGTCACCCAATTTTTACCAACCATTTCTACCGTTACTTTGGTGATTTAATCACCCTTAGGATAGGATGTTCCAGGCCCAAACTCTGTGACAACAACAGAAGAGACCTAATAGAACAAAAAAGGGAAGTTGACTAATTGAACAAGCAATCATAAAAGCACAAGTTACAACTTTCTAAATCAATCTTCTCTAATTCTCTACAGGTAACAGAGATATTACCATTAGTACAACAAACTATCTCTACATAACGAACTACAAGTTCAAGCTAACGGGGAAGGCGCGCGTCAGGTATATGCGTTGAAGCCATATTATGGAACTGTGTTGACGGCATGTTATGAAACATTGTTGGTGCTACATTATGTAAATGTGTTGGCATCATATCATGTAGCTGTATTGGCCTCACGTTGGGAAAATCCTGCCACAAATACAAAAAAGAGCACTTTTAAACAAATGCATGCCATTAGTAAGCTAACTGAACCATGTCAGTGACACATCTGAAATTTTCCATTCTACCCCTCTCAACTTTTTGTTACAATAGAAGTTTCAAACTGTTCATAGAAGTACGAACACCAAATTAAAATTTTTTTTTTTAAAAACACCAAATTAATTAAGGTTTCCTCCTTTTTCATCTAAACACCCTGATAGTTAAAATTAATTTTGAGTCATACACAATACAATATAACCCCATCCTACCCCAATATGCACAGTAATTATTTCCATATTGATCAAGTCTTATACCAGGAATTAATCCAAAAGCATCCTCATTCTCTAGAAATGCACTATTATATCATGAGAGAGCGTGTTCCAGTTCTCTACCACTTGCGTTAATGCGTGACATAATAATGATCATGTGGGACTGTTCTCACAAAAATTAAGTCCCAATTTAAAGAAATTTTAGTTATATAACTTGACTATGCCTATATTGTTGATGTAGCAGGCTGATGACCATCAGCTTAATTTGTTTTCACTAGTTAAATGCTCTCAGAAATTTCATTGTTCTAGTTTATACAACCAAAAAGAATTCAAAAGCCAGTCTTTTAAAAGTTTTAGGCCCCAAAAGATAATAATCCAGCCATGAAAAACTCTTTAATTAGGTTCATCAAGCACATCTCCTAATTAAGTAGGATTAAGGTATGAGAATGACAAACCATTTGGTGAAAGCGACCTACTGTCCCTACACTTCCAACTTCCAACTCAGAAGGCACCTGGTGCAAAAAAGCAGAATATTTGGTAGTTTACTGTTTGAATACAGAAAAATTCTAATACTAATAGCATGAACATATAAACAGTCAAATTCACTAACCTTCCCCTGTATACTCGCGTTATTGTCATCACTTGCCTTCTCATTTCCTGACTCCACCCTCTTAGAAGCCTTGTTTGTCTTAGTGACTCTGAGATTCGATGCCTGCTCTTCAGATATTTTAGTGGTAACTTGATTCTCATCCTCAGCACCGCAAATGGCATGAGTCACTGAGGTATTGGGTCTCATGTTGTTATCAATAGAGTTATTCACATTTGCACATTGCCTCAGAGCTTCTTTTATGGCCCCTAGTGCAATACTGTAACTCTCTTGAGACAACGACCCTTCTTCACCCAATATTATAGCTCGTCGACATAGATCATTGTAGCGACGGACCTTTGATTGCACCTCATCCAATCTTTGACTAATAGAATGCTTGCTTGTAGCAGTGTTTGTCCATCGTTGCAGTATATATCTGAATGGGATGCTGAAAACACCAGACATTTGCAAAACCACAACAGCATGTCTACAGAGATAACCTTTGTATTCAAAGGAACGGCATGAACAATATATATCTGACTTTGATTCATCCCATTCCACTAAGAAATCTTGGTTATCTTCAAAGTCTTTAACAGCATATGTAATTGCTGTCCCGTCTTCTTTTTCTTTCTTAAGATGGCATGCAGCTGCTCCCAAAACCTCAACTTGAAACTTCTTGAATATTTCATGAGTGTATACCAATGACATCTGTTTTTCGAAGGGTGAAGGAGACTTCAACTCTGGTGTTTCATGCCATGAATCAAAATCAGCTTTGGCTTCCTCTTCATATCTATCTTCAAGGACTACTTTATATTGTTCTATAAAGTCTCTCAGTGAAGTATCCCCATGAATATATTTGTCAAAAAAGGAGTTCAAACTTTCAGATCGTGAAGCTGTAGACAACCCAGCAAAAGATATCTCTCTCATAAAAGTAGGAACCCATAGCTTACGGTCTTCATACAATGATTGAATCCATTCATCCTCCCTAAGACTGAATCGGTTAAGCAATTTCCACCATCTCTTTTCAAACTGTTCTTCAGTCCATGACCTATGTATACATTTACTAAACTTCACCATAAAGGTATCATGCCACAAGCTCAAATAATCGAGATGCCTAGGAATCTTTTCCAATACATGCCACAGACAGAAACAATAACGGGACTCTGGAAAGACAGACGCAGTAGCAGCTTTTATGGCATTGTGTTGGTCAGCCAGTATGACTCGTGGAGCTCGTCCCCCCATTGATAAACACCATGTTTGCATTAACCATACAAATGTGTACACGGTCTCATCTGCAATCAATGCACAACCAAGCAACGTAGGCTGAATATGATGGTTAACTCCAATAAAAAGAACCAATGGTATTTTATACTTGTTCATGAAATATGTGGTGTCAAAGGACACTACATCACTAAAGTTAGTATAATCATTCATGCCTTTGGCATCAACCCAGAACACATTCCTCAGACGATGCTCTTCATTTAAGTCTACTGCATAGAAGAATTTTGGATTCTCTTCTTGCATATGCACAAAAAGTTCAAGCAGCACTTGAGCATCTCCCTCTTCTAAAGTCAAGTTCCTTCCCTTATCCTGCTGATTTCTGAAATAATTCTCTACACAACCAGTATATTGATATGCACCATACTGTTTGGACACAGCAGCTAAAATCTTCCTTCTTCGTATTTTAGCATCATTCTTTAGTGGATCGACATTCCTGTGGCTCCGAAAGAAATGTGCTTGGGCTGGTAGAAGCTCATGATTATGTTCCTTTATAAAACTATGAACATACCATTTTCCATTTGGCCTTCTCTTCACATGCATGCTTGCTTTACAACCTATCTTTGGCGAAGGACGCGGATTAATGGCATCATCTGACTGTTGTTTATTTCCATATCTGATGCATGAAAATTTTGCATCAATAAATTCCTTTGATGCCCTTGAACGACGACTGCTCAACTTTGCAGTACCAAACCCCACAGATTTGGCATATTCTTTATAGAATGCATATGCTGCCTCATTTGATTCAAATTCCATATCATCACGAGGTTCCAAATCTGTATTCCCAACAATGGCATTAGACTCCATTATTTAGGTGGGAAGTTTCTTATTCACTTGGAATTCACCTCGCTATTTGCCTACAGAAACGGTCACATTTGGTCCACTGCATTTTGTATCATTTCCCCATAATTAATATTCAGTATTTTTGGCAGTGAAGAGAATAAAAGTATGTGTCTCAACGGTTCCATCACCGCTTTGCCTAAAAATAAAGGTTGTGAAGAAAAATCAATGTATGGTACACTACATGATAATATAGGCAAGCTCCCAATACATAATTATGCAGCTCCAAGAAGTCAAGCATCACTGGTTAGAAGGGATTGTAAAACTACATAATTTGCTTTCATGAGCAAATTTTGAAGCAAAAATTGGTTCCATAAATCAAAATTGGTACTCCTAAAATGCTTATGAAACAATACCTCGGCTACCGTTTGTAGGCGTTTTGAACCAAACAGGCCCAGATGGTTCACAACAAAATAACCGTATAAGGGCCAAATGCTTCAACTTTCAACAATATTTAGATAAATCTCGGATTAAAATGACGTGACACAGAATTCATGCGCTCCTTTTCTAGCAACACTAGATTATATAATTACTTATTTGCATTAATATATATATAGACACACACCCCCACACCCACAATATTATCTGAATATATACGTAAGGCGACTCGCACTAGCTCCAATTGAAAAACTAGGTATAACCATCATGCCAGACCTAGGAATTGATTTCAGAATGGGGTGCCGATAAAATTAGGGTTGGGAATACCCAAAAGATGAGAGGATATGTGTGTGTCTATATATAACGACACAAATATATATATATATATATATATATATATATATATGTATGTATATAATATATATATATAGAGAGAGAGAGGACAAGTATGAAAATCTTATAAGAATACAAATTCAAGAGATCAGTAAAAACACAGCAATGTTAACAAAGAATACCTGTGAATTGATGAAATGTGCTCTGAAGCTTCCGTGGGGTTCAAATCAAATCTCAAATGAATTCTAGAGAGAGAGTAATTGCCAGGGTTTCAAAAAAAATTAGGGTTGGGAATACCCAAAAGATGAGAGGATATGTGTGTGTCTATATATAAAGACACAAATATATATATATATATATATATATATATATAGAGAGAGAGAGAGAGAGAGAGAGTACAAGTATGAAAATCTTATAAGAATACAAACTCAAGAGATCAGTAAAAACACAGCAATGTTAACAAAGAATACCTGTGAATTGATGAAATGTGTTCTGAAGCTTCCGTGGGGTTCAAATCAAATCTCAAATGAATTCTAGAGAGAGAGTAATTGCCAGGGTTTCAAAACTTCCGGTGACTGTCTTTAGGGTTTCTCTGTGACTTGGTCATGAAGGTGGAATGGGGATTTGATCGATTCACCAGATTAGCTCTGTGTTTCACTTGAAAGCCGCTCTGTGTTTCACTTGAAAGCCACTCGTCTTGTAGGGACGACACGTGCATAATTTAGGCATTTTCGTAATTGAATTGAGCTATGCGGAGGGTACTTTCGGTAGTACAAGGAGTGGGATGGATCATAGCCCATAGGCATATATCATTGTATCTCTCACGAAAAATTGTTAGATGCCCAAATGGTACTTCGCTAATCTAATTCTACTCTAATCTAATTTAATCGAATCTAATACTCCTTAAGGCTCAGTTTGGTCAGATGCAGGAAGAAAATAAAGAAAAATAAAAAATGAAAAGAAAAATGAAGTGAATGAAAAGAAAATTTATTTTCTAGCATGCATTTGATTGATGTGAAAATTATTCAAGAAAATTATACTGAAGAGCATAAAAGTTACTTTAAAATATTTTTACTTGCCTAAATTATCCTTATGATATATTTTTCTTATTTTATAAAAATAGTAAAATAATAAAATAAATAGTAGAATAATAAAGAATTAATTAGTAGTAATATATATATTGTTTTCAACTAATTGACACTTATAAATTACTATTTATAGAAGTCTAAGTAAATTCAAACTCTATCACCAATAAAGTTATTATTGGTTTATAATTCTTTGAAATTTAGTAAAAAATAAAATAAAATAATTGTTGGTGGCTTACAATTATAGATGTACTCGGTGGATAAAATAGGAATGCAAAATAGAAAGACATTGCTTTCACGAGAAAATTTTATTTTGGGGTTGCGAGAAATCAAATTTTTCAGAACATTTCATTTTCATTCTATCCAAACTCTAAAAAAGTTATAAAATTTTCATTTTCTTTTCTTTTCTAATTGATTCTACCTAACCAAACAAAGCCAAAAGTTAATGTTGATTGTTTGAGATTTGTTCGTAATATATTAATTTATTTTGAGTAATTAGTTATTCATACAACTAAGTGGGGGCTTCACTTTCTTATTTGGTACATAATTGACCGATTAAAAAAATAGGTATAGCAACAACTATTTGGTGCAAGAATTATTTCTCATATTTTTTTGTGAGGTCATTTTTTAAATGTCAAAATTTGGATTTAACTTTTAGGCTCTGTTTGGTTAGAAAGAAAATTTAATGGAAAGTGAAAGAAAGGAAAATCAAATTTCCATTGTGCATTTAGTTAATAGGAAATTTTTAAAGAAAGTTGTGAGAAATAATTATTTTGTTAATTTGGATAGTATGAAAAGGAAAAGAAAATGATTCTACTTGCCGAAAATACACTTACAATTTTAAATAGTAAAAAAATAAATAATTTTATGTTAGATGAATATTATTTATATTTAATTATTTATTTTAGGAATGAAACAATGAAATATGGAATAGAATAGTATGTAATATCATAATACAATTTTTTTGCTTTCTCCTCTCTCTATTCACTTGTCTTGTAGACTTGAATTCTCGTTCTTTTATCTTTTAAGGTAATAAAAATAAGCTTTTGGTAAAGTGGACAATTAAAGTTCAAGTATTTGTTTTATCTTTTATGTTAGTTTTATTTTTATTTTTTATTATTTATTATTTATTTATAAATGATGTATTTGGATACTCAGGACTGATAAAATTAAAAGTGATGGACAGATTATGCAGACTATTTAAGAATCATCAATTATTTATTTTAAAATAATATTTGATGTTAGGTATGAAATAAATTATGTTAAAATAATGTAAAGAGACTAGTTTTCACCTAACACTCTTGCTATCAATAAATAGATATATATATATATAATAATAATAATAATAATAATAATAACTCTTAATCATTATCAATTATATAAAAAATATATATATATTACTTATTTCTGACATTTCAAAAAAAATATATCAATAATAAAAAGAAAAAATTAATTAATTTTGGATGCACGCATAAAAAAAATAAAAACAATTAGTAATATATGATTGTATAAAAAAGTAATTTACAAAAGAAAGAAACTCTCATATTTCAAGGAAGTCTATGTAATTAAGTGAAGAAGAAGATAGACAACTAACATGGGTATAATAGGAAAGTAAAATATAAAATGCACAACTTTTGAAAAAAGTGAATTTTCGTGTGTTTTTTGCACAAAAATTTTTGAGGAAAATTTTCAGTTACGGGAATCATACTTTCCCCAAAACTTTCATTTTCCCTTTAACCAAACCTCCAAAAAATTTAAATATTTTCTTTTTCTTATCCTTTCTGGTTACTTGATGCTAACCAAACAGACCCTAACTGATCCATCAAGTATTCAAGTGTTATTGGTTTATGATTATTGTAATGTTTCCATTTTTTGCCATTTTTCATTTTTTCGGAATTTTAGTCGTTGCAAGGGTATTTTTGTCTTTTTTGTTTTGCGTGCCGGACATCGTGGGGTGTGCCAGGTGTGACCGAGAGCTGGTTGGGGCGTTTCATTGAGTTTAGGACTCTTTGAAACGCAAGGTTTGTCATTTTTGCATTTTTCAGTTTTTCGGGCCGGACGGTTCCGTGTGGGACCCCCTATAGGAATTGTTGCACACGAGGATTTTAGTTGGGTCCATTTGTATGTCATGCATTTTATTTAATGTGTTATATGAAGTTGTAAATTATTAAAGGTGTATATATATATTTGTGTGGTGTAAAAAGTATTATAGTCTTGTCTTCCTTTAGTCACTCTAGTTGATTCGTAAAGGCTAGCACATCGCCTAGTATCCATCGTTTACGGCTAGGACTACTGGGGTATCTAATCCCATTTGGCTAAAAAGCCATTTTGGCCTCTCATCTTCTCTTCCTCTCCCGTAACTCTCTCTCTCTCTCTCTCCTTCTCTTTCTAGGTTTTTCTTTTTCTTTTGGTCTCAAATTTTCAAACATTGATTTCTCCTTCATTATTTGAAGTTTTTGAATGTCGTTTGCGGCAAATTAAAGAGCGCGTCAAGATCTACGTTTTAATCGGAACAAGTCCTTGTCTGGCTAACCTTGGAATTTTGAGATTATGGCACAATTTTGGGGTTTTTTTGCAATTCTTAAGGTAGTGGTCTGTAATTCTCAATTTCTTGTTCCTTTCTGAGTTTTTCTCCAATATTTGTTATCAAGCATGTTTAATTTGAGTTGATTGCCCTTAAAATGATGTAAATGTTGTGTATGAAATTCAAGATCATGTGTATTAATTGATTTGCATGAAAAAAATGCCGAAATGTTAAATTTTCATGCCTTTGATGTTTATTAACTTGTTGGAAATTGTGAAAAGAAAGCATGATAAATTATGTAGTATTAATTTCCTTCATTTTCACAGTATTGAAAAGGCATGTGACATACATGCATAGTATCGGGTAAGAAAAAGGGCAAAGTGTTTGGAAGTGAATGAAAAAGGGATTTTTAGTGTAAAGTTTTGATTAAAATGGTTTATGAAAAACCCGGTCGCCACGGAGTCACCAAAGGGCCGTGGTGTTAATATAACCTGAAGGGAAGTAGGGAAATCACCCTAGCGGGGTTGAGCTATCTGGGCCCCAAATGACTCCGCGGAGGTACCAATGGTCAGGGACAGTAGCCAATCTTTCTCTCGAGTCGCCGCGGAGCCACCAAGAGACGGGTTATATTAACAGTTTGAAAAATGACGGAAGTGATTTTGAAAATGGGGAGTGACATACATGGTATCGTATTTCATGGCATAACATTGTTTATTTTGAATTTGGAATTGATGTGTATTCTTTCCTGGCATAGCATGACTCCTATCCTCTATTCATATTCATTATTAGGATTCACAGGGCCACAAGAGGTATGTCTTAGGCACCACCTACTGAGCAAATTTTGCTCACCCCTTATTTTAACATTTTTCAAGGCTGGGAAAGGAAGTAGTGGACGCCGACCCTTCACAAGCATAAGGAGGACTAGGAATATATTTTTATCATCTTTTGTACATTTGTTGTTCTTTTGTAAAGTCTCAAACTGTAGTAAAGTGTATTCATTTTGCAAGCCATGGCCATGTATTGTAACTATAACTCTTGATGGTATTTTGAAGTGAAGTGAGACTACGTAAAGATTTCATGATGAATGGGAAGTGAAGTTATGTTTTGTCCAATTATAGATGCCTTTTAACTGCATTATGTTAGAAATTATTTTCGTGAATTCAGAATTTGACTGCATAACAGGTCCAGTATAGGTTTGGCCTATAAAATGCATAGTCAGGAATTATTCCAGAGAGTTGGGTTGTGAGGAGCCTTGTTTCGGTCGGCTGATCCTCACCATCAGTTGACCGAACCACCCCACCAGCCGACCGACACTCCTACTGTAGCAGAGTCTCGAGAGCATTCATTTTTTATAACCGTTTCAGCCGACCGACCATGTTGGTCAGCTGGCCGATCCTGCCTTGTCAGCCGGCCGACCTAGGGCTATCAGCCGGCTGACCTTTCCTTTTTGACCTGCACATTTGACCACTTTGTAAAACTGTGTTCTTAAAGTACCTTTGGCCCTAGACCGACTCATATGGCATGTGCTGACTTAGGAAAAGACGGTCTTGACCTTAATTGACCTCGGGTTCGGTTAAGGATCCGGTTAACGGTTCGGACCTACGGTGTAATACCCCTAATTTTTAAAAGGATAAAAAGGGAATTTACTTATTTATTTTATTACATTTTATTTAATTATGTGATTATGTGCTTTCGTGGCTATGTGTTTATGTGGCTACATGATTATATGATTATTTGTATTAATTGCTTATGTGATTTATGATTTAATTAGGTGTTTGTGTAATTAATTAATTGGGTGTTTTACTTGTTTAAATGATGCGTGATTTAATTGTAATTTTGTTAGGATTAAATGATTTAAATTGCTGTATGCTTTATTTTATTTTTATTTTAAAGGATAGATTTGGATAGTAGTAATTGACCAACCCAATGGGTCGTATGGACTACTTGGACGGGAGTTGGATAGGTATGAACATTTACCCATAGATGGTTGTACACATATATATGGGTATATATGTATAGTTATTTTAATTATTAATTGTTATTAATAGTTAATATTAATATAAC